TCGATCCAAGTCACCTCTCAAGGATCTTCTCACATTTAAAAAACTTTGGGATTTTCTGACACTTTTAGGGGCTTTAAAAGGTTAGATGCCTTCAGGGATTTGGGCCATTACTCTCTTTCATAGTCCCATCTCTGCAGATAGACAGGGTTCTTTCCAGAAAATATAGACAAGATTGGCAGGTGCCAAATGAAGGGGGAATGGGAACGGTGAGTGAATATAAATGCTGAAGATTATCCATCTGATAGATAAAGCCTCAGGATTTAGCTAAACAGAAATTTACTTCGGTACTAACAGATGTCCAGATGTCCTTTGGGATGAATTCATTTATTTAAATCCTATCTGTTTTAATGAAACCCTTTTTAAAAGCTGGAATGAAACTCCGACTTCAGTGCCCACTCATATGTCTGCTAAAGCCCAGCTGCTTGACAAAGGTGGTCCAACAAACGTGCTTCAAAGGGCTACCCAGTCATTGACCAACGCTTTGGTGTTGTCTTTAGTAGTCAAGAGCTTAGCAACTGCGTGTTCTTCCTTTCCACTGGCACTGCTGTTTTCTTTACCCACTGAATATCTTATCTGGATAATCCTCAGTGCAGTTTAATTTTGCTCAATTGGCTGCAGTTATGAGAAACTGTAGGGGAAATCTTAGCATGCTTAACAGAGTGTTGCAATATATTATGAAGAAATAGAGAAATGTGATTAAAAGTTGATTTTCGCAGGTAGGATTAATCTTGGCTTCTTATACCTAAATTATAGTGGTATCGCAGTAATAACAGTGGTACTTTTGCTGTCAATCACAAGCAGTTAATGGGGAATACTTCTCATGAAAATCTTGGTTTTTTTTCTTTCCATTTTTAAAACTTAAAATGTGGACTGTTTCCTGTTGATAGTTTTCAAGAAATATTATGTCTGAAAAATCAAACCCTGGCTAGTTTTAACAGCAGCGTACAACAAAGTGCTTGCATAAAAGAGAACTTTGGAGTGTTTGCAAAATGTCGTGCTTGGCATCTGAGGATGTGGGTATTTTCCAACCAACGTAGGAATTATTTCTTTCAAAACTGGATTTTTATTTTTTTGTTTGTTTGTTTTTTGAAGATTTCTGGGAGACCTGAATTTAAAAAGCACACAAATGAAAAAAAAACAAAAACCTGAACAACTTTTGTAACTCAAATGAAATTTAACCAGAGGTCAGCTACAGGGCAAAACCACACAGTACTCATCGCCAAGATGGACTGATACTAAGTGCTGCGGTGGGAAGGATGTTTCATCCAGCCAAGGTTTTACAGCATGGTAAAGTCACTGTGAAGATTCCACTGAAAAGGAAGAAGTTGAGGATGTCCATCTATCTCAGTTCCTTTTCTTTTCTGAAGTCCGTCCCAATATTAAAATTTCATGCTCTAGTTTCCTGCTATCTGCTAAGGACAGGCTTCTACATACTCTTAAAAAGCATTTTGTTTTCTGTTTTGTACAGTGGACTACATATCCACTTACCATAGATGGTGGTCGAACTGTTGTAGTTCCAACCATCATTCATTTTCAGTCTCTCAAGCATCTTCAGTATCTTCTGGTTTTATCATCTTGCCTGCAAATTCTCCAGTCTGATATGTGATCCTGTAAATGGTCAGAAGTACAGAGGAACTGGCATTTGGGTAGAAAAGCACGACTTCCTTTGAGGAGGAGTTCTGTTCTAGTTCATGGTAGATTATGACATCTCTGCACTATTGGGTTGTCTGTTTATTTTTGGTTTGGGTTTCCTAAGGCTATTGACTATTGCTTCAAAAGCAATTAACGCTGAGATTAGACATTTGTCATTAATCAGATAAATTTATAAATAAAAATACGTATTGGATGCCCGAGAATAAAAATAATTAAGACCTTAATTAAATGAGGAGGAAGTGTGTGTTGCTGAATATGATGTATGTCTGTGAGAATGCTGGTTTGAAAAAAGCCCTGAGGGCATCTAAAATGTGGGCTAATGTAGGGTCCAGCTTGGCTCTTAAGCACTTGATCAGCAAAAATTTGGGGAGTTCTTGTCATGAATTGTATAGAAAGCCACACTGGATGACTGTAATTGTTCTTTTTGTGCCTGAAATCTCTAAATCTTCCTGAAAAGTCTAAATGATTTTGTAAAGCCTTGCAAATGCCACTTGAATGTAACCGAGTCGCTGAGTAGATCAAGGGGAAACAAAATGTACTGTTTGCTGTCTGAACTTTGTAAACTTGGATCTGGCAGTACATGGACAGGCCAAAACACCTCTTGGGTTTGTTTATTCTTTTCGTGTCTTCCTATTATACAGGAACAATGTAAACCTTGCAGGTCTCTGTACACAGAAAAAAAGAAATTGCCCAAAGATCATTAGCTCCCTTCCTTTTTATTCTACAACTCATATTACTAGGAAAATTTATTTAGGACTGTAAATTCCCATAAACTGGACAGCTGGTTTTCTAGGAGAGTGTAGCTGTGAATTCCTCTTCCTTACAGGCAGGTGCTGAGGGCTGCTGGTGTTGATGCACTTGGGAATGTTGGTGTACCATGTAAAGATAACTGATTATTAATTCTTAAGCAAATGTGCATGGAAACAAAATGGAAAGCTGAATGGAAAGCTCAAAGCCGACATTCTAAGCATACCTGACAAATATGTATATAAAATTACAGCTGTTAGTATTGATCAGAAACGTAACGTAGACAAATGGAGGTTCATTATCATGGAAGAGATAGTATAGATCCCATAGCACACAAACTTATTAGTATGGATAATTTATCTAGGTGAGTTGTGGTCAGGTGGCAGGAAACCGTGCCAGCTGGATGAGGATCAACCAAGCACTTAGAAGATTTCAGGTTTCTCTTAGCTGTGTGTATCTCATTCCACTCACTGCTCTAAAGAAATGGAATGAAACCACAAACACAAAATTCATCTTCCTTTATTCTGTGAGCTTTATCTTTTTTTGTTTTGTTTTGTACCTGTTAAACTTATTTAGATTGATTGCAAATTTCCTGGTTTTTTTTTCCCTTCTTTGGGAAAAATTTTTTGTTGGGGCAGAAGACAATATAATATTTCTTTTATTAAAGAAAGAAGCAATCAAACAAAACCTACCAACCAGACTGAAAAAAAAAAAAATAACAAAACTATGCTTTTGAGTGAAAGCTTGCTCAGTTAGAAATGAAAGATTTCTGTCTTAGAATGCATAATATTTTCAGTTATAGCATCAGAAGATTTTCATGAAAGTAAAATTTGTTAAAACTTTTTGTAGGAATGGGGTTTTTTGGAGTCTCAGTGAGTGCATAACAGCAGGACAGCTTATGGCAATGCTGCTTCAGCTCATGCAGGATCAAAGGATCCAGGAATCCAGGAAAAGGCATCCCCTGCAAATCTGTATGGTGTCTGTAGACATCACTCTGCTTGGTTCATTCTGAGATCTGGCAGAGTTTCAAATGGACTCTTCCTGGAGAACCATCAACACAAGGTTATAATAGCTGCACACTTCAGCTTTTACCTTTATTAGGAAATTGTATCATGAATAAATATGAATGCTGGCTAAAATGGTACTGGCTGTAATGCAGACATAGCTGATACAGACATGGAAGAAGTACTTTCAACATCATTTATGATAATTAAGCACTGAGTCTTGTTTGAGGAGGGTGTGAGTATTGCTAGCCAATCACTAAAAATAGTGATTAATTATATTTTCCTTATGCAAATCTGTCTCTGGCCTGCACAGGTTGCAGTCTGGATAGAGGTATTGGAGAGGGGGAAGTTGGCTTCTAGGCATGTTTTTATGCATTTGTTTGTTTTTAAATGGAGATGAAGCGGCTCGGAGTTTTATGCAGTTTTCATTTTTGTCACATTGGTGTGGAGCAACTGCTGGATGTAGGCAGAAACCTCAAGTGGAATGGGCTGTTAAATCATAAGGGGGCAATACTTAAAGAACACTTAAGAAAACAGGAATAACATAGGATCACTCAATGAAAATCAACAGCAAACACTTTGAACATACTTATCAACTAAAAGAAAGATTTGAGCTGAGAATTGCTTTTAAAATACCCGATGTCTGTGTAGCACAGGGAGAGGGGAGCAGCTGGGCAGACAGCACAGTTAAAAAAGCTTTAGGAACCCATGGATCTGTTCTATGATAAATGACAATTTTCTTTTCTTTTTGTAACCCAGGTGCGTTAGGGGACAATCCAGTGCTGCCCTCTGAGATGGCTTTGAAACCCCAGAAGTCACGTCTGTGTTTGCATGGGCATCCACTGAGAGGTCTGTTTGCTGCTTGTGGTTAATGGGGCCAAACAGCAGCAGGTGAAGGCACTCTGCGTGGTTCCTCAGTGCCTCCAGATCCCTTTGGCTGAGGGAGAATTGATTCCAGCCCAGGTAAACCTGCCAGACAAATAGCAGAAGGTGAAGTGCAGCGGAAGCATCGCGTCTTGGATCCCAGCACAGGGCTGGAGCCTGCTGACATCCTGAGATGCGTGAGAAGTCACTGCCTGGGAGCTGGGGGAGGTTAAGGGGGATGAATTCAGGAGATGAATTCAGGAAGGTGAATTCTGCACCGTCAGCTTTGTGTTCTTGAAGTTGTTGCTTTGTTCATCATTGCTGATGGAAAAGAATCAACAACCCAGTGCTTAAAAAAAGTGACACCACACTGTTTTCAGTGTGTTTACACTTAGATTTGGTGCATGTAACTGAATTCCTTGTATGTGGATGATTAGTTTGTGTGTTTCCTGTTTCCCCCTGCCCTTAACATGACTTTCACTTTGAATCTGCAGGCATCCCTTTCCCTGTGCTCACCCAGAGAATGCAGGAAAATAAAATCAGCATGGAGTGTGCTGAAGAAAAATATCCAGGTCAGGTGGATTAGAAAGAGATCCGGTACCAAATACACGGGGACCAGGTGTTGTTTTTTCAGTGCTCTGTGCTCATTGCGAGAAAATCCACCTTTTATAAACATTGAACAATAGAGGGAAGGCAGAAGGGTCCGGGGAGGGATGGTGGTAAGCAAGGCAATGCTGTATCTTTAATTTTCTTTTCTGAAGGAAGAAAGTCTGCATAGCAATGACAGGAGCACTTGTTCATGCCTTTAATGTGTGATCTGTTTTCTCCAGTGGAGGGCACTCAGTGTATCACAAACTAGAACATTAGCACCAACAAGCTCCAAAGCATCATCACTCTCTGGAAAGCCTTCTGAATTAGACAGGAGCTGCCTCTCAGCACAGCTACAAAACACTTTAAACCTGACCAGCTAAATGGATAAAGCTATCCTGCACAGCCTTTAACTGGGGGGTTACACGGCACGGGAGGCCTGCCTGCTTCGGGAGCTGGGAGCTGGAGATGGATTGCTGTGTCTGGGAATGGCAAAAGGCAGCAGAATGAGAGATGCTAGGTACCGGCAAAGCTTTTTTTTTTTTTTCTTCTTTTTTTTTTTTCTTCCCGTTTCTCCCAGAGAAGTTGTTTTACCTTCGCGGTGTGCTGTAGCTTTCCCTTGCAGATTGCCACTTAATGCTGATGGTTCTCTGATGACTTACACAATGGCTCTCAGAGCTTAGAGTCCCTCCCCCCCCCCCCCCCCCCCCCCTTCACAGACTCCCCCCCATCCTTCGTCCTGTCTTCCCCACCCCCAGCCCCTTCCCTCTCCCTTCCCTTCCTCATCCCCAAAATTCTTGCTTGTCCTCTCTAGGGAACTTTGTGTGGGGCTCTGGCATGCACGCTGGATGGCGGTGATGCGAGCGGCAGCCGCGCTGTGACATGAAGATTCTGATGGTTTAAGGAAAAGAGAGCAGTTTTAAAAAGAAGAGCGAGGCAAAGGGGGAAAAAAGGCAAAAAGGGGAAGAGAGAGCGAAGAAAACAGCTGGCGAGAGGAAGAGGAGGACGTTTGTTGGTGACAAAAGGATGGGTAAGTGAACTTTTCTTGCTTGTTTGTCAGCACAGCTGCAGCTGTATGGCATATTTTTTGTCCAGTTGGATTATTAGCTGTTCGGGAGGGGAAAACAGCCTAACCAGCAGCGCATTCCTGTGCCAGGTGACTCATTGTACTCATTGCTATTGTATTTTTAGATCATGCATTCACCCCCCTCCACCATCCCCCCAAACACACACACCTTTCCTCCTGCAGTGGTTTCACATGTAATTAATGTGTGCGTGCATGCACGGGGTGAAGGGCTGTACGTTCCTGTCTGCCCAGCCACCCACACACCTGCACACATGATGCACAGAGGTACATGCATGCGTGAGGCAGCCCGCACCACATCTCTTCTGGGTTTCTATTCCTATTCCATGAGCCTGTAGTGGCATTATTCGGGCTGTCAGAACGGACTGTTAACACTTTGCCGTTAGGTGGGAAGCCAAAGGAAAGGGGGTGATTCGGTTCTATAGGTGGTTCTGAAAAGATGCTCCCTAATATTGCTGCTGGATTTCCAGCAGTCATTTGCCAGTCTTATTTTTTCAAGTGTGACAGGTTTATTTCCCTCCCTCCTTCCCCCCTCCCCCCCCCCACCCCAGCCCCCAAGTCTGTAACATCAAGAACATATTTCTAGCTGCTTGCTGCTGACACATAGGCAGTAGCAAAAAAATGAGGATTTAAATTAAAAATCTAATCTTAAAGTGAAAGGCAGAGATGCATAGTCAGGGGCGTGTTAGACGAGGAATTATTTTGTAGATTGCCCCCTTGGTTTAAAAGCAGATGAAATAACTGCAACACAAGGGTGGTTTTGTGTATGTGACAAATAATGAGGTGATTATTTATCAAGGAGATACCGGCCCTTAGAATATTTCCTATTGGAAGAATGTATCTTAATTCCTAGCAAGATTGCAACTCTGGACACAGAGGCATCAGTCCTAAAATCACTGCAGGCTGAGGAGAGTGTGCGTATGTGCTGGGGGTTCTGACAGCCCCCTGCAGCCCCTTCCATAATTATTCAGAGAAGGTAGAAAATAGCACCATGCAATATCGGTTCTACATGAGAATTCTGACATCTGAAACGCAGAATCTTAATATGAGTAGGGCTGGGGAAAAGAGACGGTAGCTACGATACAGAAATTCCCCTTTAAACTTTGGGTGTATTGCTGCTCTAAAGGCAGTGTTTATATGTAAGTATTTCTATGTATATTTTCACAGAGGATATGCAATGAATGTATACCAAAAATAGCAAGTGCTTAGGTATTCACCCCTCCATGTAGATAACTTTAAGGCAATAAGGCTGTGACTCATTTTAAATAAATGTCTCCTAACATTACCTTGTTACTCAGGTCCCATGCTAGCATTTTATAGTAATACTTCCCTATATGGTTGAACTTTGTTTCTGTCCGCTTAAGGTACAGGGAAAATAACAAACGAGTGAAACCTACTCTCAAATATAATTTCTTAGTGCAAAAAGTAAAGCCTACAATTTTTAGTTTTCCAACAAATGGATGCATTAAAGATGGATCAAACTTTATAATAAGTAGATTCCTCACTTTCTGCAGTGATTTTGGGAGAACTGAACTTGCAATTGCTTTAATCAGGGAATGTATTTAGCACCATGTAAATGCCAGAAGCTTTGCCTCATTTCCTTCCCAGCACTATGGAGCATTCAGCACAGTGACTTGACAAATATGTTTATTGTTAAAATCCCAGCATCTAGCGATAAGGATATACCAGCAGCCCTGAGAGATGATGTACAGGAGAACAGCAAATAGAGAACGGGCTCTTGGTCCTTCTAAAGGCTCATAAATCACACACAAGTAATTGAATAACGAGAGTAGTGCCGGTGATGGTGCAGGTAGGAGAGATGGCAAGCAAAGAACAGACATTTATACAACCAAAAGTGCAAGCCAGGACACAAACAGATTGTCTTCAAAACGCACGGCTTCACTAAGGCTTTATCAGAAACCCCATTGATGTTAGAAAGCCATTGGTGAATTATTTTGGTAGCTTTACAGTGCACATTTGTTTTCTTTTTAATATTGTAGGTTTCCACTTAATTAAGCAGCTGAGGGGCATGAGTGTGGTGTTAGTGCTACTTCCTGTGGTGCTGTTTGTTGTGCTTGCGGGGGCTCAGCGAGCTTGCCCCAAGAACTGCAGATGCGATGGCAAGATTGTGTACTGCGAATCTCACGCGTTCAGAGACATCCCTCAGAATATTTCTGGAGGGTCTCAAGGCTTATCATTGCGGTACAACAGCATTCAGAAGCTTAAATCGAATCAGTTTGCGGGCCTCAATCAGCTCATATGGCTTTATCTTGACCATAATTACATCAACTCCGTGGATGAGGATGCGTTTCAGGGGATCCGCAGGCTGAAGGAATTAATTCTGAGCTCCAACAAAATTACCCATCTGCACAACAAAACGTTTCACCCGGTCCCCAACCTCCGCAACCTGGACCTCTCGTATAACAAGTTGCAGGTGCTGCAGTCTGAGCAGTTTAAAGGCCTTCGTAAGCTCTTGATCTTGCATTTGCGGTCTAACTCGCTGAAATCTGTCCCGATCCGAGTTTTCCAAGACTGCCGCAACCTCGATTTTCTGGATTTGGGCTACAACCGCCTGCGGAGCTTATCCCGAAATGCTTTCGCTGGCCTTTTGAAGTTGACAGAGCTCCATTTGGAGCACAACCAGTTTTCTAAGATCAATTTTGCCCACTTCCCACGCCTCTTCAACCTTCGCTCGATTTACTTGCAGTGGAATAGGATCCGGTCTATCAGCCAAGGGTTAACGTGGACTTGGAGTTCCTTGCACAACTTGGATTTATCAGGAAATGACATTACAGGGATAGAGCCTGGGACGTTCCAGTGCCTCCCCAACCTGCAAAAGCTGAACCTGGATTCCAACAAACTCACCAACATCTCTCAGGAGACCATCAATACGTGGATCTCGCTCATCTCCATCACTTTATCCGGAAATATGTGGGAATGTACTCGAAGCATTTGCCCTCTGTTTACTTGGCTTAAGAATTTCAAGGGAAATAAAGAAAGCACTATGATATGTGCAGGCCCTAAACAAATCCAGGGTGAAAAAGTGAGCGATGCTGTGGAGACATACAATATCTGTGCCGAAATCCAGGTGGTGGTTACTGAAAGATCGTATCAGGCTCCCAAAACCCCCCAGAGACCTGTCTTTATTCCTAAGCCTACCGTTTCCAAACTTGAAAGCAATCAGCCAACGTCTGTTGTGCCAAGCCCTTCCACTGACCTCCCAACACCTGCAGTGGAACCCGAATACGAGCACGTTTCCTTTCACAAAATCATTGCTGGGAGCGTGGCCCTCTTTCTTTCCGTGGCCATGATTTTGTTGGTTATCTACGTGTCGTGGAAGCGCTATCCAGCCAGCATGAAGCAGCTCCAGCAGCATTCGCTCATGAAGAGGCGCAGGAAAAAGGCCAGGGAGTCTGAAAGGCAAATGAACTCCCCTTTACAGGAGTATTACGTGGACTACAAGCCAACAAACTCTGAGACCATGGATGTATCTGTTAATGGATCTGGGCCCTGCACGTATACCATCTCTGGCTCCAGGGAATGTGAGGTATGAACCATGATCCTCCTAAAACCATTTCAGCTGCTGGGAAGGAGAGGTAAATGTTTGAAGCTCTTGAGGTGTCTCTAAATGCTAGAAAGATTAATGAGCTTTTTTGTTGTTTTTTTTTTTTTGCTTTGGGGTTTGCTCAGCATGCAAGGTTATCTCATTAAATGGTAGCAATCAGAGAAGTGACAGCGATTATTTTTGAACAATTCAGACTTAATGTAGAATTAGTTTAAGATGAAGTAAACACCTATGATAAAGGTGCATTATCCCCCTCTCCCCCTCTCATGTGCACCTATTTAATTATCGGTGGTAGCGTGAGGCCCATCTTTCCTGTATTGCTAGAGGCAGAGAAGTTTAAGAACCTTTTCTGTTTCAAAAATAAGCATGGAGTCCTCTCTGCTCCAGACCCCATGTCACATCTTGGGGGTTTTCTGATGTGTTTAGTGATAATGCCAGAGCTTCTCTGCATTTTCTGTCTGATTCAGGGGATAAATCTGGAAACAGCAAGACTGCAGCACAGTTCTGGGTTGGGCATTTACTTGTTTTGCTGGATAACCACAAACATTCATGCTTCTTCATTAGCTTTTTGCAGATTTCAGCCTTGCAAAAGCCCCAGCTTAAACATCTGCAAATATCTGGGTTTGAGAGAGGGATTTTCTCTTGTTTTTTCTATTTTAGTGAAAACTTTCAGATGCTTGGTGAAGGCTTAGCTTGAGACACAACTCTACTGGAGGCAGTAGTTGCATGCATTTAAGGATGCAGTATTATATTGATTTAGTATGTATGTATTTAGTATTTAGTATGTATGAGAAATACAAATAAGAAAAGCTCTTGGTGTTTCTTTCCTCTATTGTTAAGTTTTGGCAAGAAAATGCCGTATTTTTTCATTGCTGCGTTGTCATTGAGACTATTTAATATGTATGTAAGAAACGTTTTTACTTGTGAGTATAATTGCTTATTTATTCCTGATGAGGAGGATTTCCATGGTTACATTTTGGTACTCGTTACTTAACTCTGTTCATGATTAGGGGGTCATGGTTGATTTTGGTTCCCTGGTTGTGGGTATCCTACCTGAATACACTGTCAGTGTGCCTGCTGACATTCATTCATATCTTTTTATACACGTTGAATAGGCTATGGTAGACTTTGAGCAGTGAGGTAATCTGAAAGGTGTGTTAAAGTTGAGCAGTGCTCAGCAGGCTGTGATTCTTGGATCCCCATTTTTGAAAATTGGATGTTTTGCACTTTCAGAAAATAGGGCTTCTGTAAGATGTCTGGTATTTGGCACCTGAAATCACTATCTGAGTTTGGACTGCAGAACTAAGGGGAAGCAAAAATAGAGATGATTTGGGGTTACTGTGTCTGGAGCAGTATTGCCTTCAGAAAGGGAAAAGCACCTGTCGTGCCCTTGTCGTTTCCACCAGCATTATGTGAATCAATGTGTGCTTTGGCTTTTTCTTTTCTGTTAGCAGTGCAAATAGAAATAAAAAAATGCTAACAAAGTTATTGTGAATTTTCACCAGCTGTCACAAGGCGCACTAATTTCACCTGAAAGGCTGTCTTGTCTTCCTGCTCAAGTTTAACACCACTAAAGCGTCATTAGCTTTGGTACAGAGCTGTTTGATTTAAAGATGATTTGGAGGACAACTGAATCCCAGTGTCATATCCAAAAGTGCACGTAATGAAACCATTGTAAGAAAATTTGGATCATAATTATAATGCACAAAAGACATGGGCACATCTGCTGCTGTTTGGGAGGCTGAAATCCAAATAATTTGGATTATGGGAGATAAATAAATAGGTAAGGAGACCTACCAGGTCTGGTAACCGAAGGTCAGTATGGCATAATTTCTTCCTGCTGCTGCTGAGTGTTAGGCACAGCTTTAAACACAAGGGGACCCCAGCTCACCTGGTTTCCAGGTGCTATTGCAGTGCCATAGCAGCTTGATTCAGCTGCTGCTCAGGTTAAGTTACGCTGGCTCACAAGTTTGCAGAAGTCAGGCTGTTTATCCCATTATCTTTGGGATTCCTTGTTGTGGTGTAAATTCAGGAAGCCTGTTCTGAATGCAGTAGTGCTGGGACTGGGAGAACATATGCTCTGTATCTGCCTGGTATTAATTATACGTTGGCTATTAGCACAGAGGACTGGAGGAGACAGAAAGCAGCAGATCACTGAAGACACGTGTAGCAGCCATAAGCCCCCACTGAAATACTATCTTCAGCTTGGATTTAACATCCTTCGTCTCCATAGCTACAAGGTTCCACTTGTGAAAGGACAGATATGCACTGTGCAGTACTTAGGAATGGTAAGAAAAAAATCCCTGTAGTATCTTCAGCAGTGGAAAGGCTTAATGTTGCAGTGAAGGGAGGAAGAAAATGGAATATTTTGTTATCAATAGTTAATTTACCCAGATGCACCTGCTTGTGGGAAAACTATTACTAAAACTATTGCTTTGGACAAGTGAGACAGCTCAGGCTCATCCTCCCACAGGTCTGACTTGCTAATTCATTGGGCTCAGGCCAGGGTTTCCCCCAAAACAGGAACGTGTAGAGAGAGAAGAGTACCTGGTTATCAAAATGAAAGCAGAGCAGTTGTCAACATCAATTACTTAAGGTTCTATCAATTTTACTTTATTAATATTTTTCATATCAATATCTGCTCTCGCACGCCAACCCCTACACACCTTTAAGCACCGTGGATGTCCAACATCTGCATATCTTTCTGTGAAGGGTTAATGGGTTAATTAGTTATGGGTTAATTCTGTGTTAACCTAGGGAAGAATATGCCTGAGTGTATTCCTCTGTTGGAAGTTGGTGGTAATGGATGTTCCTGCCTAGGGTTGTGCTGGACACAGCCATTACTGTCACAGCTCTGAATTTGTTTTTCAAGTGTCCAGCTCTTCTCATACGTAACCACCATCTTTCCATGGCAGAACAGCCTTGGAGTAACATGTTTAAGCATTCACACAGGTTTATTTTTTAACAGCAGCTGCACATGTGAGTAGGTGGTGGCGGTGGTTGTTCTGAGTTCAGCAAGATGCATTGACTGCACCAAAGCAACACGGCTGTACAGGAGCTGCCCCGTGTTGGGTCATTATCTGCAAGCAGTGGGTGCCAGGGGCAATTTGCAAGGCTGCTTTTAACTCTGTGCTTTATGAATTATTTCTTGTTCTACAGAGGCACGGCCAAAGTCAGGCTTGCCGTAAACGGGAGCAACTCTCTTGGCATCAGTGGAATTATAATCACTGACACCTGGCCCATGGTATTCTATTTAGTCTATTGGCAAAGCTTTCTAAAATAACTGGATGCTTATGATTTTGGCTCTCACCATCCAGTTAGCAGACTGCTGCTATCTCATTTTGGTATTTGCTTTGTGCTCGTGCTTCTTATTCCCTCTCTCTGTCATGTTTATTTGTACATTTGCTGAAGATCATGGAGCATAAAAAGCAATTTTATAAACCAAGCTAGAACGACATATTTCATACATAGCACACAGAATATCCACATATAGCACACTCTGTGAGGAGAAGGAACATTGCTCCAGAAATGTTTCCTCCTTTCTGCTAGGTTTTTCCTCTTCTGTTTCTCAGCCTGGCTGCTACTGAACAACCAACCACCAACCAACCAACCAAGTGAACATCTTTTCCATGTTAGCTGAGCACAGTTGATGTGAAACCCTTTGAGAGACAATTGACACAGACCCTGCAATGTTGCTCTTTACACTTTCATGTCTCCATGTTTAACCATACCCCAGAGTTTGACAAACAAGCCCACCTGTTCTCATACAAGAATGTCTCTGCTGTGATGCTTCTATGTTTTTCATTGGAGTGAAAACCAGGGCAGTTGTCACTTGCATTCATACTTGCTAAATCAGTCGCGCAAAATTGTGTTTGCTTTGAATTCTGCTTGCTCCCCTCTTGCCAGTGGGAAGAAATAGATTGGTAGAGAAATATAACATATGCAAACGTATTGGGCTACTGTTGACCTCTTCTTTTTGAGCCTAATTTAAAAGGAAAAGCTGACGTGCCTCTGTTGATTATCATGTATTTATTAAACATCATACTGTGTTGTTTGCAGCAAGATGCAAAAAGGGGAGGAAAAAAAATAGTCTTCTCTTTCCAGATGCTTGTTAGCCCAAGATTCCAGCTCTGGAAAGGTGGTTCTGTAACTTACTTTGGAAAGATGTCCAGGATCTAATCAAGATCTTATGGGACATGGTGGCCTCAGGAGAGAGAAGTCACTCAGTAGTTTGGCAGACTGGTGGATTTTGTTTGTCTTCTGTGTGTGCTTTTTTAAGAACAATGACAATATTCCCTTTGGTCTTATATTCACATAAAGAAAATTTAGCAAGGACCTGATTGCAGAGGCTTAAGTTTTACGTGATTTGGGGTAATGTAAAAGGAAGGTGATTTTCCAAGTAGTGCATTGCAAAGAGAAGAACATAGCAAGTAAGAAGCAGTGATTGTTGGTTCCATAGCCTATTGCCCTCATTTTAGGAGCAAGGAAGTTGCAGTTGTTTTTTTCTAATGACTGTGTTTAGGAAAGCTGTAGGATGGCCCATGTTAATTGAGCTCTCTTGTATCTTTAGTGCTTTGGCTCTTCCTCCACCTCTCCCTCCACATCTCTGTGATTATGAGTGGACCTTAAGTTCTTGCTTGAGACGCAATGAAACTTTCTCACAAGCTGTGTTGTAGAAATTAGGCAAAGACTGAGGTAACAGTGGATTTCCTCCCTGCAGTGTCTCTGAAATATGTCAGAAGTGGCTCAGAGGAGAAACCTCTTAGGCACAGGGCCAGTGAGAGCTTTGAGCAGGAGGTAAATTTTGGAAATATTATCAGGATTAGGTCCAAAGGTAGAAATGTGTGTTTGTTAACATCAGTCTGTGTTAATTCCCGCAGCCTTCCATATACTGCTATGATTTGTGGTTGCAAGCATAGTGTCAGTATGCTGAAGGTTGTGCTACAGAAGCACTAGGTAATGTAGTCATAAATGCATAGGGGCAAATTTTCCAGGGCTCAGCACTTGCAAAGCGTAAGACTTCCCAAACATATTACCAAAATGCCTGGCTGTATTTCCGGGAGAG